TGTGCAGACTTAGTTTCTTTATTTTGTCATATTCGTTTCTAGAAACAATGGTTCTTGTGTTTGGTCTTAATTTGTTTACTTGTCATCATTTGGATCCAACATTCGTCTGGTCGCATCCATCATCGATCCTGCCGAAGTCATCGCCAAGCGACCAACTCGAGGGCAACAACTCGGGTTTCAACGCATCTAAAGACTACCAAGGATTATCGAGGAGCAAGGAGAGGTCATCACATGGACGTCTTCATCAATCATCCATCTAACAAGCCAAGCTCCAACCATTCTCATCGAAGGTTCATGGCGCGCATCACCATGGAAGGAACATCAGGTGAAACTAGCTTTGGGAAGCTAGAATCGTGTGTTTTGACCATCACGCTCGAGTGAGGACCTCCCTAAGTCATTAGAAGAAGCTGTACTCTTTTTCCACTTTGGGTTTGTCCCAAATGGGATTACCGAAGGGATTTTAGTGAGGCAGCGAGCTCTAGTGATCTTTACTTTGTTCCCACTTGGTTCATGGCTTGGAAGCGTTTGAAGACAAGCTTCAGAGCCGAGGAAGTGAAGATTCTTTCAGAAGATGGAATCCTTCACCAATAAAGCTTTCTTTATTGATCTTTTACCTTCACTATTGATAATTTCTCCAAAACTTTACTTTTCACCAAGAAAGCCGTTAGAAAATGCTCTCTTTCTTTCTCATTTTGTGTGGAGCTTAAGAACCCACATCTCTAGGGTTAGTTTGGGCTCCCTTTCTTTGTCTCTTGCCTATTTAAAGGCATGATTATTTATTGGGATCGACATGCTTGAATGAATTATTGAAAATGTTTCTTTTCTTTGCTTCTTTCTTTGTTTCTCTTTAAGTGCGAAGCTTAGAGAATCGAAAAACCTTGGGAACTCTCGAACCGGGTTTTGTTAATCTTAAAGTCAGCCTACCGAGGGATCGTCCATAACCCTCGGGATGTCGATTCGACCCATCCATCTTCCCTCAAGAAATCCTTCATTTGTACGAAGGTTTCTCTCCATCCAACAAAACCTTCCTCGAAGGTTTCTCTCCATCCAACCAAACCTTCCTCGAAGGTTTCTCTCCATCCAACCAAACCTTCCTCGAAGGTTTCTCTCCATCCAACGAAACCTTCCTCGAAGGTCAGTTATTAGCTTCTGAGACACCCGAACGAACCAGCGACCTTGCCATTGACTAATTCATCGCAAACGAGGGTTCACCAGGGTATGTCCCAGGTTTTCCCAATTTATTTTGTTTTCCTAGAAATACTCTTAACCTAACTAGAGAAAACTTATGCCTTGTTAGATTTTCTTTTAGCTTGTAAGGTTTCCTACTAAATATTTATCTTTGAAGTTTTGGTTTTTCTTTTTCTTGTAGATTCCCTTAATTACTTCATCTAGTTATGATCATAGAATGATATAATCAATTGCTTGTATTATCATGATCATAAGTGAGTAGCCTTTCAAAAGTTTTTGGAGATTGTAGATTTTGGTCTAATTAAAAATTGATTTGTTGAGCTCCGGTTTAGTTTGTTCAAGATCTTTTCATAGTATGTGTTCTTAGGGCTAGATCAACTGTGATCATGTTGACTAAGACAATATGAAATCTCTCGCGGAAGGTGTTTGAGGAAATGCTGAACCAAATTATTAGACGATTTTTATTATTTATCAGTGAAAATTGTTGACTAGTTGCTCTTTCCACTTGTTATTGTGCTTTTTAATCACTTCATTGTCTTTGAGCTTTTTTGAGATTATATGAGTAGAAAAGTGATTGGTATCATGGAAGTGGATTAATATTGTTTAGTGATCTAAATCCCAACGATTGTAGTCTTTGTATGTTAGTTCTTTCTTCTTTGCGATCCAATACTCTTAATTACAATTAACATACACTTGTGGCATGAGTGATTAGAGATTTAAAACTTAATCTTTATCAAATTTTGGCGCTGACGGAGAACAAAAACATTAGCATTGTAAATAAGTATATTTCAAAGAAAAATCAAAACAAGACACCAAAGTTTTCATTAAATCTTCATAATTTCCTAATCGTAAATCCAAATCCACTTTTTTAAAAACCAAAATTACTTAATTTTGTATGCTTTTCAATCTAATTTCCATGAATCCTCTAGCTAATCTTCAAAATATAATATGATACAACTAAAATGTTTTGTCAATCCAAAGCTTCCTTTTGCCTACTTTTGTACCTAAATCAGTACCAAATGCAATCATAGGATTCTAAATGGAAATTTACCTTAAACTAAGTGATAAATGATTGTCTTAAACTACGTAGTCAATAATTAAGACCCCAAAACTAGTCATAATAACGCTTAAAAGACCAAAATATCATCACATCATGGCTCTATTGTGACAGACAAAATTCAAATATGATGGGTGATATTTTTGATAAATTAAAATTAAAACAGGTTATTCATTTCTCATGTAACATTCAAATTAACTTCATACTATTAGAATAAGAATTCATATATTCCTTTGTGTATATTAGGAAGTAGTGTTAATAGCATCTAACAGCTCTCTTGTACAATCTCTCCTATATAATCTCTTCAATACAATATTATCAATCTATCGATTGGATTAACCTAATATGGTATCAGAGCAACAGCTCTAATCAGCCGCCTCCCTCTCTTAATTTTTTTTTCTTCTTCTCTCGTTCTTTTTCTCTACACAAAATACCTAATCCCACGTTCTTCTTCTCACTTTCTCTCATTATTATATTTTATTCTTCTTTTTTTCTCTATCTCTCGTATTCCTTTGTTTTCTTATTATTTTTTATCTCTCCGTCCACGTTTTCTCATCCTCTATTTTATATCTCTTCTCTCCTTCTTCTTCTTCTTCACATTTCTCTCCTCACTTGTCTAACAATGGCGGCTCCTGCAACTGATCGCTCTCTCACTCTCACTCAGATCAAGGCTCATATTCCCATTATTTTGGATATGAATCAGGTGAATTATGACATATGGCGTGAGCTCTTCGAGATGCACTGTCATAGCTTCACTTGCCTTGGTCATCTCGACGGCACCTCGGTGTCTGCTGGACCGGATGACACTCAATGGTCTCAGATTGATGGCACCATCAACATGTGGATCTATGGCACTATCTCTGAATCACTTCTCAAGACCGTGTTGAAGACGAAATGCACGGCGCGTGAGATGTGGACCACCATTGAGAATTTTTTTCGTGACAACAAGGAAGCCTGAGCAATTCAACTCGAGAATGAGCTCCGGAATCTTCTAATTGGTGATCTTTTGGTTCATGATTATTGTAAATCTTTCAGTTCAAGTTCTTGTCAAAAAATGTCAATGTGACAATGGTGGAGAATTTAATAATCGTCAAATGCTTGATTTCTTTTCCTCCCAAAGTATTCAAGCTTGTTTTTCTTGTCCTTACACATCCCCTCAAAACGCTAGGGCTGAACGCACTCTTTGCACTATTAACAATCTTGTTAGGTCTCTTCTTTTTCAAGCACAAATGCCCAACACCTACTGGATTGAAGCATTACACATGGCTATTCATCTCTTTAATCTTCTTCCTTCAACAGCTATTGATAACCAAATACCATTCACTCGCCTTTTTAAGAAACCACCTTCTTATAATCATCTTAGAAAATTTTTGCTGCTTGTGTTAACCCAACCTTTTTCCTACTACTCTCAAAAAACTATCTCCTCGTTCTACTCGATCTGTATTTCTCGGGTATCCTACAAACCATCGTGGGTATAGGTGTCTTGATCTTTCTACTCATCGAATAATTATTTCTCGTCATGTTGTCTTCGATGAGGCTACGTTTCTGTTTGCTGCTCCTATCTCATCTCCCGGTGTTCAAAATCACTCTCCCTCTCTGTCTTCTCCACTTTTTCTACATTTACCTCCTTCTCATACTCCGCCACTATCTCCTACGTTCCTAATGGATTCACCGTCTCCTCCACCAGCGTCTCCTACACCGCCGTTGTCACCATCGCCTCCCCCGGTGCCTCCGTCACCGCCGGCTTCAACATCTCCTCCGTCACTACCGGCTTCACCATCTCCTCCTACGGTTTCCACGTCTCCACCGGCTCCTTCTTCTCCTCCACCGTCTCCACCGGTTCCCCCTTCACCGCCAAGTCCGCCTTCGCCTCCAGCTCTGGTTGTATCACAGGCTGCTCCTGTCCCACCTATGCCACAACACATCCAGACCCGAAGCCAAAGTGGTATCACTAAACCGAAACAAATTTTCTCTGTTCATACATGTCACATCTTTCCTCTTTCGCTGCTAATGATCCTTATTGGAAGGGTGCGATGACATCTGAATATGATCCTCAAATAGCGGCAGGCACATGGACCCTTGTGCCACGCCCTAAGGATACAACCATTGTGCATTCCTTGTGGTTGTTTAGTCTTAAGTTTAATGCAGATGGCACCTTGTCTCGTTACAAAGCACGGTTGGTGGCGAATGGGAAATCACAACAAGTTGGTGTAGACTGAGACGAGACTTTCAGTCCAGCCATCAAACCAATAACAATCCGTACTGTCCTTGATCTTGCGGATCGCTCATTACTGACCATTTCACCAACTAGATGTTAAAAATGCGTTCCTACATGGAAATCTCGAGGAAACCGTTTACATGCACCAGCCACCCGGTTTCATTGATCAAGCAAAACCAAACCATGTATGCCTTCTCAAGAAGTCGTTATACGGTCTCAAACAATCACCAAGGGCATGGTATCACCGCTTTTCTCACTATGCTACCAAACTCGGTTTTAAAAACAGTAAGAGCGATGCATCTCTATTTGTGTATCGTCGGGGCAATGATCTTGCATACCTTTTGCTCTACGTCGATGATATCATACTTACCGCCTCTTTCGATGTTATCCTCAGGTCAATTCTCTCCTCTCTCAAATCTGAATTTTTAATGACTGATCCTGGTTTACTTCACTATTTTCTTGGAAGTGCCGTTCGCAGGGACAACAATGGTTTGTTTCTCAGCCAACATAACTATGCCGCCGATATCCTACATCACGCAAATATGTCCAACTGCAAACCCGCTACAACTCCAGTCGACACATCCGCCAAACTTCATGCTACAGTTGGACCACCTGTTGCTGATCCCTCGTTATATCGTAGTCTCGCTGGCGCCCTACAATATTTCACCTTCACTAGACCAGACATCGCATATGCCGTTCAACAAAGTTTTCTCTATATGCATCATCCTCGGGAACCTCACTTCACTTCAATGAAGCGCATTCTTCGGTATCTAAAGGGAACCATTTCAGAAGGCTTACACATCACTCGCTCAAAAGCAACAACTCTCACAGCTTATACCGATGCGGATTGGGTAAGCTGCCCCAATATTCGCCGCTCAACTTCTGGTTTTGCCGTCTTTCTTGGTGAGAACCTTATTTCATGGTCTTGCAAACATCAACCCAGTGTTTCACGCTCAAGCGCAGAAGCTGAGTACCATTGTGTGGCCAATGTGGTAGCTGAAACCATATGAATACATAATTTTATCTTGTAACTACATTTTCCTCTTACCACCGCAACACTGGTTTACTGTGATAATGTAGGTGCTGTCTACCTCTCCACGAACCCGATTCAGCACCAACGCACCAAACATATCGAGTTAGATATCTTATTTTTCCATGAAAGGGTCGCATTGGGTCAGGTTCGTGTTCTACATGTTCCATCCTCCCATCAATATGCTGATATTTTCACCAAAGGCCTCCCCACTTCTTTATTCAACGACTTCAAATCCAGGCTTAGAATAGAATAGGAATTCATATATTCCTTTGTGTATATTAGAAAGTAGTGTTAATAGCCTCTAATGGCTCTCTTGTACAATCTCTCCTATATAATCTCTTCAATACAATATTACCAATCTATCGATTGGATTAACCTAATACATACTATTGGCATCTCAAGAGTTAGACGTACATAAATTAACCTGAATATTATGCTGCATGCACATACTTAATTGATATATAAGCTTTTTTTTATATCCACAATAAAACATATTTGAATAAAACCTTTTATTAATATCATAAAAAGCACATATTTTTGTGATAAGCTAATTAATAATGGGAACACTAGTATCACTATATTTGAAAGAATCTTGAGATATAATATTAGGATTGCAACAACAACTACCAGTGGTTGAGCTAAAGTCCATGAGTACACAAGCCCCTCCTTTGTATGCTTGTGATATGCAAGCTACATGGCATGATGTTGTGTCCGCACATACCCCCGGTAGACATGGTATCATTTGTCCTGGTTAGTACATAAGCATACACATTGATAAGATTTTAAGTATAAACTATCAATATCTTGAAATGCCCTTTAAATAAAAATAAAAAAAATCTAATGATCTAAAAGTTATGACCTTAAATATTTGAAGTTCCTATATAAAAAACACAAATAGTGACTTTTGTTCTTGGAGGCATTGAAATATTTTTCGTATCATAGTAAATATACAGGACAAAATATTTTCTTTTTGACATTTTTTTCTTTTGACCCAAAGCAAATGTTTCAATAGAAAATTCATCTAGGAATTTTGTCTAAGAAAATACATTTTTTTTTCTAATTCCAAAATACATTAGTTTTAATGAGAAATATTACCAAGTTCAATAAATATCAGTGATTACTCAAGAATAACTTACATTATTATACATACATAAGACGATAAGTAACATTTCAAGTAAATTATATATTAGAATATTGACATTCAAACTAATAATTTAATTATAATTTGTAAGACTTTTTAAGAAAATTTATATTGTATTTTTGTGTCAAGCGACTTTAACTTATCTGGTAAAAAAAACCAATTGTTTCTGGCAAATACAGCTCAATTTTTCTGCATGATAATGTGAAAACATAAGAATTTTGCATATGTAATCATCAAAATTTTATTAAATAAACGTGTTACCTGAAATCATCGACAACAAAGAGAGAGTAGACACAATTAACACAAGTAATAGAAAAGATGAAAATTTATATGTTGCCATATTTTATGTTGGGAAAGGCTCTTTGATGGAGTAAATGGTAGAAGAGAATTTATAAGATATTTTTAAATGATTGTGTTGATATATGAGTCTATATATATATATATATATATATATTCATTACACAACAATTTTTATTTAAAGTCTTATTTATTTGGTCAAAGGGCTTGAGATATTTATTAATTGATAAATGGGTCAATAGAGAAATAAATACTTTCCATTTATAGTTTTATTTGTTTGGTCAAAGGGTTTGAGATATTTATTAATTGACTATTTGTTTGGTCAAAGGGTTTGGGTTATTTTATTTTATATTTTTTTTTGTGTGCACCAAACTTATAATTGATTAACTTGCAGTTACAACGATAACACAACTTGGAAGCAATAGGATAGAAGGTTAAAATCATGGATAATAACCAGAAACTTCTTCCAAGGGGCTTCCAAAGTGATCGGTTTGAAGTCGATCGTAAAGTCCGACTTCGGCAAGCCATACCTCTATCTGTGTCGAAGAACGGCACAAGCGTGAAAACCTCGGGAATGACGCATGAGAGGATATTTGGCCAAAAGAATACGTAGGCCACGTTTCTCCATTGCCTTAAATGGCCAACCACCCCACCTTCCATACATTCCCAGGTTTGTCATTATTAATTTTCTGTCAAGTCCAACGCTTTTGATGTTTCTTTACTTTGTATTGGCTGGTCGAAAACAAAGTAGCGATATCTCTTGGTTGGGTTGATAGGTATCTTTGTCGAGCTTGATGGTAAAGCTATCATGTGTTTCATCCAAGGAAGTCTGTCTCAAACAATTAAATGATGATGGCCAGCTCTTCCCAGAAGAATTCACTCATCGGTTATCGTTGATGGCAGAAGATAATATTGGACCGTTGCATGCGTCTTGTTTGGTGAGTTTGTCGAGGACGCACATCATCGCTTGCTTCTTGGTGGTCAACGGGATAAATCCTAGAATTTATATAAATTAAAGTAGTAATTGTTTTCTTAAATATGTGTTAGTATTTGCCAATTACTACTAAAAAAATGTGTAGCCACTATACCCTATAATCCATGGCTGTAAATCTTATTAGCTATATATGAATTGCCATGTACTAAATCTGATTCCCTAAAGCCTTCCTGTTATTTTTATTTATGTTGGTCTGCATTATCAATTGACTTGTATCTTCGTCTCTAATTTCGTACTAGGAGATAACCCGTGCTAATGCACAGATTCCCTTTTTCGAATAATTAATAAATAAATTATAATTTTATTTAATTTAAAAATATCTTCTTATTTTGAGATTGTGTTTATTTTTCATATTGTAAATGTTAAATAAATCTAATTTTTTTACTTCCACCTAGCCGATGTGAGACGTTTTACATTCATTTTTGTTTTATCGATTTGTAGTATACGTCTGTTTTAAAAACTTTAAATTGCAGCATCTACGAAAAAAACTGTTTTTAGTATTTATATGTTTTATATAAAAATTTACACACATGTAAAGATAATTTGTGTTTATAAATATAAGTTTATACATATTTTTTTGATAAATTTCAAATTTTATAGTGACTTTTTGATAAAATTAGAAAGAGAAGTATTTTTAAAAAGTGGTATTGGAAAAGGGGTATTTTTGAAATTCCCCCTATATATTAACTTTTAAAAGTATTAATTTTAAAACTTTATTTTGGTGTAGTGGTTAAGTTAACATTTTAGTCCACAGACCACAATATATAATACAAGTTTAAACCTTACAAACTACCTTTTCCTTTTCTTCTTTGTTTTTGAAGCAAAGATTTGTCAAGAAGGTTTACTATTAAAAAAAAATCATTAGAGTTTAAATAATATTTAAAATTTTAAATAATATATTTTTCATAAAATTTTAATACAAAAACGTAAGTTCATAATTTGAAAACCTCAAAAACAAATTCATGATTACTAAGTTTCTAAATTACTAAAATTTATAAAAGAATAATTTTTAAAAGATTTATTTTAAAATTTTTGGGGTGGCACTGCCCTCATAATTATAAAATTTATATGTTTTTTATTTGAGATAAAACATCTTAAGGAATTAAAAAATAATTGCAAAAACATATTAATATTCAGTTTGTGTTTACGTTTCTGATTTTTTTGGAGAGAATTTCAAAAATACCCCTTTTCCAATATCACTTTTTAAAAATACCACTCTTTCTAATTTTATCAAAAAGTCACTATAAAATTTCAAATTTATCAACAAAATATGTGTAAGCTTATATTTATAGACACAAATTATCTTTATATGTGTGTAAATATATATATATATATATATTTCATAAATACCGTTTAAATACCTTTTAAAAACCTTTTAAAAATCATTTAAAAACCTTATACAAACTTTGTAAATCTTATAAAACCCTTATAAAAACCTTATAAATGACGTTTAGAACCTTTTAAAACCTTACAACTATTTGTATTTAGTCTCGCAGTAGTAAAAATGATCTTGATGTACTTTATCAACCATATAAAAGTTTATAATTTTCCATATTTGAAAAGGGGTATTTTTGAAAATAGATAGAAAAGAGGGGTATTTTTAAAAAGGGGTACACCAAAAGGGGTATTTCTCCAAAATTCTCATTTTTTTTAAGAAGTCCACATGAATCTGTTTTCTAAAATTTATAGAGCAAGAGTAAACGTTAGAATATGTATTCTATTTTTTTTTGTAGAATAAAGAGGAAAGTATAGAATATGTATTCTAAATTTTTTTAATAATTGGAATTCTAAATACCGTAGAAAAAAAAAGTTACTTCTAATTTTTTTTAGAACATGAAGAATGCGTAGAATACATAATCTAAATTTTATAGAATATGTAGAGTGTATAGAATACACATTCTAATTATAGAAAGTGTATTCTAAAATTCATAGATTAAATTTTATCTAACCAAAAAAGCAATAAAAACATATTTTGACATTATAAGTGTCATCAAGTATTCTTCATCATTTTTTCTATGCATTGTAGTCAATTTTATTTGAAAATTTTGTTTAAATCTAATGTAAAGGATAAGTTAGGAATAATTAACATATATCCATAGAATGCATAGATGGACAAATGTTTAAATATTTATCCTTTATTTTTTATTTCCCCTTTTATATTTATAGAAAATCATATTCGTGTTTGCCATTTTGGCAGGTGAAACAAATATTGAATGCTTTCCTTTGTGAATCTAAAATGATGATGACTAATGATACAATAGAGATGACACTTGATAAGCTTTACTTCTTGTTTATTACGGCTTTGATTTCTATGAGAATAAACACTCTTGAAGAATTTTGAGTCATTTTATTTTCTTGAACAGTCATTTGAGGATGCAGATATGGGAAAACAGTTTTTCATACCTGCAAAATTGCAATGTGTTGAATTCATACATCGAACTATTTATTCTGCCTAAAAATACATTAATTTTAAAATAATTTGAATTCCAAACATAAACTTCAATTTTTGTGCCTAAACATACCAAAACCATTTTAGTGCTTAACTCTGTTAACCTTCCGTTTAGCCAATATGACGTGGAAGTCATGTATATTGATAATATCAAAACGACGTTGTTTGAATAAAACTAAAAACCATTGCCACAAGCTAGGCGTGAACCCACAAAGTCTAAAACCCCAAAAACCCGTCTCTAACCACTCGACCATATGTAATTATTGTAATTTAGTAAACAAACATTTATTATATATTTTTTAGCCACTTCTTCTTCCCAACCATCACCGAAATATGTAAACCTCAAATTCTGAAATACAGCATCTTCCTCTCTTCTTTTACACTATTTTTCAATGATTTGATAAAACCCTTATATGTTTATGTGTTTTGTTGTAGTCTTTGTGAAGCTAGGTTTGGCGAGATCCACTTATAATCTAATTGTTCTCCAATCGATTTGTATCTGGGTGTATTCACAAATCTTGTATACTTTCAAAATCAACTCTAATTTGGAAGCAATTTGAGTTTTCAAGTCAAAGCTAATGAATAACTGAGTGTTAAATTCCCTCTGACATCATATTTTTTTTTTTTTTTTTTTTTTGAGATGAGATGAGGAATGATGGTTGGGGAGAAGAAGAAGAGTGACTAGAGAAGATATAATAAATGTTTATTTACTAAATTACAATAATTATATATGGCGAGTGGTTAGAGAAAGGTTGTCGGAACTTCACATGAATAAAATTACATCATATTGATCTCCTATGCAGACGTGGCTTCCACGTCATATTTACTAAATGGGAGGTTAACAGAGTTAAGAAACATGTTTTGGTATGTTAAGGCACAAATATTGAAGTTTAGGTTTGGAAGTCATATTATTTTAAAGTTATGTATTTTTAGGCACAATGGATAGTTCGATGTATGAATTCAACACAGTGCAATCGGGATGGAAAGATTGATAAGACATAATGGAGAAATCTAATTTCTTGATAAAAAAAGTCCGTCTTTGCTTAATATCATGACTCTTTCCTAGATGACACTATGATATATTTGACAAATTTTGCCTCTATTTTCTAAATTTTGAGAACTGAAAACTCAATTTTAGGGATTTAACCACGAAGTTTACAAAAATTTTCATTAACTCAAAGGTGGAAGAGATTGCAACATGAAGAAACAAGAAAAGTTCGCTTATAGAGACCAAATTGTGGACCAATAACAAGAACAAGATTGATTTCAAAAAATGTTATGTAGCTCTGAGACCCCGGTTTGCGGAGAGGTAGGGTTAAATTGTGAGAACCCGGTTTGCGGAGAATGAATTGATTTGGCCACCTATGTCAACAAAGTGCACTTATCTTTTTCAGTCAAGGGTCCTGAGAGTAGTCAAAGGATGGATGACCTTCTGGGAAGTGATTGTCAGAATTGTGTGAGTTAGGCCAAAACACAGGAAAAGATCATGTGGTGATTTGTAGGGTCGGCAAACAAGTCTTTATGCTTCCCATACTTAGCAAACCGGCCGTCGGATATTGGTGGGCTCACGGGCCTAGTGAGAGGACATGAGGCACATTACGAGAGGTGAAA